AAAAACTAAACTAAACTAAAACAATTTTACCTATTTTTTGTGTTTTCATTGTTCTGTGTGCTCATTATGTTCCTTCTGATTTGAGCTGTGTTTTACAGAAATTAGTTAACTAAAATGCACAGTTCTCTAGTGTTTTTCTTTTTCTTCATGAAAATATGCTAAACAAAAATGTTTGTTTAAAAGTAAGATTTAACGAATAATTGTAAAAACAATCGACAGATTCATCGATTATCAGAATTGTCGTTAGTTGCAGCCCTACAACAAATGAATGCAGGTGCAGACAACTTGCTAAATGGATCACTGTTTTATGGGTCCACAGGCTTTTCTGCTCAAACTTAAGTGCTAAAGTTTTATCTGTTTTTCATCAGTTTCATACTACTCATCTGTGTAGCAGTGAGTTTTCTCTGTTCCCCTTTTTAGTGGTGATGCAGTGGTTTGAGGACGTTTACAATGATGAAACCTTTGTCCAGCATTTGGTTAAATAGATGACGTGAAAGTTCCCAAATATTCATCCACAAGTCACTGGCATGTGGTAAATGTTTTCAAAGTAATTCCGATATTAGCCAAGCTGAATCATTGCTACACTTGAATCATGACAGCCACAAATCCATGCAAATTTCTTATTTTGATACAGTTCATGCAAAGTTTCAATTTGAAGTCCTAATCAGTGTTTCCTCTACATTCATTTAGGAGCGGAGGGCCACCATTCCTAAATCCTAGCCGCCGCTTCTTCAATTTTCTTTTCTTTTCTCTTTTTTTTTTTTTTAATTGTCGCAAATACATCACTGCCACATGTCTCTGCCTTCACAGCAGAGTCCTGCACTGGGCTGGGTGCTTGCGACTACTACGGTAAACTACAGACAACTATTTGGCTCAGTCTCTACCCTTTGGGGGGTTCATATGATGTTAATTACTGGTGAGCACTAAGGTAGACTACAGATAACTATCTTGCTCAGTATCTACTCTTTGGGGGTTAATACAATGTTAATTGCTTGCGAGAGCGCGGCCTTGAAAGTGACGCTGTTTATTCTGCTCATAGAAAAGACTGCATGGGAAAAAATGACTCGGTTTCATCTTGGACATATCTGACATTAGAACGCTCTAGTTTACTCTTTTTAAAGTCATCTTTGGTCGCACACCAGTCTGAGCAACGCGGCCACCAACAGCAGCTACCGCAGCCTGCTATGTGGAGCGTTCAGGGAACATTGTAAATTGTAGAGTCCATTGATAACAAAATGTTCAGCCGGTCTTATGTTTTGCCTGTGACAAGGTGGGAAGTGCGAACAAGTGTGGACTTCCATATGGCACAAGCGTTGTTTGGTAAACGGCTACATATGCAGTGACGTATGGCGTGGCTCTAACTTGGCTCCTGACCAATGGAAAAGCAACCTGGTTTTTGGGGGTGCCAGATTTCAACTAACTAAGCACTAGAACTAGTACTGACATGGAGCTAGCACCTGGTTCTTATTGGTGGAAAAAGGAGGAGAGTTATAGGAGGGTCGTCTTGGAGAATAGGGCAGCGACTTAGCTGAGAAAAGGTAGACATATTAGCTTAAGGTAACTCAGAAGAGATTTTATAAGTTAAATAGACTTTCACAATACATTGATGGCCCGCTATTGTAACATAACATATCTGTATCTTAAGTTAATTTGGCCCGGGGCCAACTCAGTGTCGCTAATGTGAGTAAACTAACTGATAGCATTAAGCTAACATCTGCACACCAAGATGGAACTGCTGACTGCATCTTCAGATGAGCTTGTTCAAGTATTTCTCTAAGAAGACACCTGACGAAGATGACGCGAGCCAGGTATCATTAGCTTTTTACTGACTCATAATGATGATGGTCAGGTAAAAAATAGTGTAATAATACATCATCAGACACAAACTAGAAACAATTTTAAATGATTAGGGTGTAGGAAAATGAGAGAAACAATCTCATTATTGTTTTTATTTGTAGGTGAAGACTGACTAGAGAAACAGGCTTCAGGGGATCAGCTTGCATCATAAATGCTGCTGAGCATTAGTGGCCACCTCTTGGAGAATTTCTCTACAACAGAGCCTTGGAGCTCTTTTATTAAAAACAACAACTTACATTTATTTTTTATTTTTTTATTTTTACATTCAGCCTTTAAAAAGCTGTTTTTAATTGGCCATTCAATAAATAGGTTGCAAAAGTAAAATTTGCAGTCAAATGTCATTTGTTTATGCCGCCACGGCTCCCCGGAGAGCCTGGCCCCGCTGCTGAAAAAATCCTAGAGGAAACACTGCTAATACAAGTAGCCAGTGTTGTATTGACATGCTTTTACCTTTTTGCCCTTGATTCTATATGATTGTGTCAGTATATGTTTTCTTTTAAAGTGCTTGCTGGCTTAAGTTTGGTATCATTATTAGAACCTGATAACATCCATCAGGAGGCCAATGTTAGCTTATCTTTGATATCAATACGTGCAAATATAATGATGGATATGAAAAAAGAAGTGGCAGTACAATGAACTGCAGAAAGACATGTTTTATAGACTGAATTTCTGTGTAATATTAGATTTTTTTTCTTGTTAGTATATTACATGTTGTTAGTCATTAAAGTTCTGCAGAATTAACTGTTCAGAATATTTCATGCTTGCTTTGATCCTACATTTGCTTTGTCAGTACTCTGACTGTGACGAGTCACATAACCACTGTTTACGTCTGGTATTGCTTTAGATTTGTCAAACACAGAGTGTTCATGCTTTGGACATTTTCTGTTTCTTTGTAGGATTATTTTTAGAACACAGCTTTATGCTCAAATGGCTGTTTTTCAAATTGTGTTGTGGCTTCAGTATTCTGCCATAAAGCCTGTAAGATGCTGTATTTTCAGTTTGTTCAGTGGACTAAATTGGCACATAGTTGATCAGTATGTTTTTAGACTGGGCACTGAATGCACACTAATCGGTCACAATAAAGCATGGCCCAGTTTTGTGTCCAAGCCGAGGTTGTGTCCGTTGTCCACCTGAATGTGAATCTTCCTTAATTAGGGCAAGAAAACACTCTGATCACAAGGCAAGACACAAAGATGGAAAAGAAAAAAGACAAAAATGAAGGTGAAGCAAACTTCCTGAGCTGCAGACAATATAGGATTGGAGAGAATGGGTTTGTCTCCAACCTTCAGATTAGCAAAGTAGGACTGGCGTCTTTAACAATACTGTTTCTTCCTGTTGTAGTGACAAGAACTGCTCCCAGAGGAGCACCCATGGATAGTTATCACTAACAAAATACCCACTCTCAGGTCTGAACTAGAAATGTCTGATAAGCTACCTTGTTTAGGAAACTGGCCGACCTAGATTGTGGCTCCTGAAATCAATTAGAGGTGTGAGGAGGGCCGAGGCGAACTGAAAGGAAAAGCTGCATAAGCAGGTCAAGATGCAGTTCATTGCCTTGGAATTAATGTTGATGTTTACAAACTGAACTCACATGAACCCAAGTGTGCTTTGAAAAACACTGAAAAAATGAACACCCCACCACGATTATTTTAAGTATCCGTCCACCAGCTTTAGTCTGAAAGGTTTGTATCCTGCTCCAGCTGTTTTCAGCTTGAACACACTGTACCTAAAGTGCATTCCAGTATAGAACCAATGACTCATGACAAAAAACATTGAAACTTCTCAACTACTCCTACAGCATTCATCTATATGTTTCAACCACTTAGTTTCTCAATTACAGATCTACATATACTGTTTGTGTGTCTTTGTGTCACCTTCTCATCTTCTGCTGGCGGAAGCATATTAAGCAATTTGTAGATTCATCAGTGATTAAAAAAAAGCATAATGGGAAATGGTCTTTGGTTGTTTTCCAGAGTTGTATGTACTCAGCCAGTGTCTGAAAGTGTAGAGGGTTGTGCCTCTTAAAGCCATTAAATATAAGGTGAATAATGAATTTATTTAGCACCATTTGTGGGTGGTCATCAGATTTGTTTCCTGCACCTCCATGGCAACAGCACAACTGTGGCAAGAGGAAAGGACAATTGAAACATGTCTTCTATGCAATATAACACACGTACAATAGTATCAATTATATTTGAAAAAAAAAAATCATTTTTGGATTATTTATTTTCCAAATATTGATAAAAGAAAAGGCACAACATTTTTCAAGAGGACTACACGTGTTATCAAGACTGGAAAAAATGGTGACTCCACATACTATAGATATTTCAGTACTTGCATTTTTAATTTGTTTCCAAACTTGTCTTGTATCTGTTTTGTGAAAACACATCCTGCCGTTCAGCTGAAGTCACTTTTTTTTTCTGTGAAGATTTTTGGTCACAGCTAAATCCATCACGGCTCTATTGTTGAGCCAAGGAATGCAGATTTAAAAAATTACTTTTTTTTTTTTTTTTTTACAGACTCTGGTTTTAGTAAAAGGTTTGTTTTTGTGGATTTATTAAATGTAAAAAGGTTTTGCTGAACCATCTTGATTTTATGCTTATATTTGGTTGGTTTTCTTGACAAAGTGGCATGTCCAAATGAGTAGCTGAAAGACAGATTGAAATCTGACGATTCTTTCTGTTTTCAGTTTCTGACTGATAAATTGTATCATATTTTTTTGCTTTGTGTTAAAGGTAACGCTAACCCCAACACTAACACTAACCCGTTCAAACGGGAGGACTATTTTGTGAAACATCTAAAAACTACAGCTGCCAACACCCACAAAAAGAACAAGCTACAAACTCCTCAGAAACAAATGTTGAGCGCATAGTGTAATGAATGTATGATGCTCATAAGCTTCAGGGTCTGTATAGTGGAATATTCCTTTAAAGCATATCACACATATATGTTTCCTTGTTATACTCACATGGATCTGGTGACAAGGTGGCACAAGAATGTTCAAAACTCTTTTTTTGAACCCGCAGAAGCTCAAATAGCCGTAGCTGGCTGTCAAGTTGAAAAATGTTTATTCAGAATAAAGCTGCTTTTTCTGAACATGCACATATTAAGCATTTATGTGTCCCTTCTGTGTCCCTGTGTAGCTGATAAAAGCAGCAGCAGCAGCAGCAGTGTGGTAAAGCAGGGTGAGATGGAGCAGCGTGAGGGAACCCGGGGCCGCTGGACTCCCTGCCACGTCGAGTTGACGCCTTGCGAGCTGCGATTGTACACTCTGGACAGCAGTGCCAACCGCCAGCTGGGCACTGCCTACTCACTGTCACACTGCCAGAGCGTCATCTCACCAGCACCCTGCAGCCAGCCCGGTCAGCTCACCCAGCCCGCCGACCAGCGCACGCTCCAGGCTTTGTTCTTCAACAGCACACGACTCCAGCTGAGGGCAGCCAACCAATGGGAAGCCGTGGAGTGGAGGCGGCTGATGTGGGAGAAGGTGCAGGCAGCCAGACCCACGAGGCAGGAGAACCGCCAGCACAAGACCGGGGTAGAAAACCAACAGGTCGCCAAGTTTCCTGCGCCCATGTCACCCTCCTCGTCGCCCTCTCCGTCTGGGCTCGACACCCGGCCTGACGGCGACTGTGACACCCCCACCTCAGCAGAGGCATCGCTCTCTCTTCAGCCTATTGTCCTGAGCAGACCCACCACCCTGCCTCTGTTCACCCAGCGCTGCCAGGACGTCCTTAAAGCCGGTCTGCTGCACCAGCTGATGGATCAGAACAACTGGCGGGCCTTCACCTTCGTCCTGACCAGATCTGCTCTCCAGGCCTTCCCTACTGAAGGCCGAGGATCTGTGTCCCAGCCTGTCCACCAGTACTCCCTGGCATCCTGTCTGTCTGTGCAGCATGATCAGGAGCCGGAGAACGGAGGGGAATGGATCGATAGAGGGGAATCTTTCCAGGCTGTTTTCCCCAACGAGGTGCTCAGGCTTCGGGCGGACGATCAGCTGAAGGCCCAGGAATGGGTGGAGGCTCTGCGGGAAGCGGTGGGAGCGCAAAAGCCTGCACAGGAAGACGAGAGAGAGCCAGGAGAAGGACCTCCGGGACTCCAAGGGGTGCTGCTGAGATCAAAACCATCCAGGGATAGGAGGCAGAGAGAGGCCCAGAGAGCTAAGCGGCAGTCTGTCACCACCAGCTTCCTCAGTATTCTCACCTGCCTGGCTGTGGAAAAGGGCCTCACCGCTCAGAGCTTCAGGTGTGCAGGTGAGTGGCCTAAACAGAAAAACACATACATTCTATGCACACATATAAACAGTACACACACACACACACACACACAGACTCAAAAACTGGTGATTGCATGCCAATGAGAGTCAGCAGTTATTAGTCATGTTTTTCTTTATTATCCTCTTTCTATGTCTAATTAGACCCACTTCATCCCTTTTTGTGTTTTCACCATAAATTTATCCACCACAATTATTAAGTCCAGCACGGCCTCCACAATCACAAGTAGTCATACCTAATTGGCTCCCAAGACATTATTGTAGGTATACAGAAATATTTTTACACAGGGTTTGTTTGTTTCAAACTATTAATTGTACCTTTACCCTCTCACCCTGCTGGACTTCTGTCAGCCTTGTTCTGGTTCATGGTCGGCTTGTGTAGTGTTTTTATCAACAAAGTGTGACTGCTTAATGCAATTCTCAGGAAATTTGACTGGAGTTTTATCATACACACATTGAAAAACCTTTTCTTCTGGTATGGCTAATAGCAGTTTTATTTGAACGAACTGGGAATATCTTGGGGTATTCCAAGTATCCAGGTGACTGGACTTGTATTTTATTGTTTTTTTCAAAGATTATTTTTTGGGCTTTTTTGCCTTTATTGGACAGGACAGTGAAGTGAGACAGGGAACCGTGGGGAGAAGAGTGGAGGAAGGACATGCAGCTAATGAGCCACTGGCTGGACTAGAACTGCAGCCGTTGCATCGGGGACTATAGCCCCTGGTCATGGGTTGTCGTCTTATCCGGTTGAGCTTCCGGGGCACCCTGTGACTGGGCTGTTTGTCCAACGGAGAACCAATTTGATTGTTGTTTGCACACCAGTTTCAGTGTATCTATGCACTTTGGCCGTGGCACCAGTTGCACACTTCAGTCCAATAAACGGCTTTTCAACAAATTTTGCATTAAATTTGCTTTTCCAAGTAGAACCTTTGCGCTTTCGCTGAAATTCAGGTGATCACCCTATTGCCACTAAAAACTGAATTTCGTGGGATGACTTGGCAACACACTACTACATTTTGCCTGTTTGTTTTCACCAGTTTTGTGCACACCCACTCATGATGCTGATACCGTCATGACACCCATTCAGATTTGAGGCCTGTACTAGGAAGCAGGATTTTCGGTTTAGCGTGGGCAACTTCAGGTCTAACTCTGGTTTTTCCTGGTTATGATGGTGGTTTGTTTATTCCAGGGTTACATGGCCATGTTAACTCATGCTACATACCTTAGTTAGGAAGCCAGTGTTTATCTCATAGATGACATTTTTTTTTTCTGGCAGAAGGAACTCCAGTCTAGTCTTGCTTGCCCCCCCCTGCTGACTACAAGCAATTTCATAACCATTTTATTTTTTTCATAGACCTTTGTATAGTAACATCATCCTAAAACAGAGACCTACCAAAGCACTAAAACTCTGCACTTGTTAACATTTTAAGATTTGCAATGAGCCTAGTTTAAATTATGTTTTAATATGTGATCTTTACCTGCTCCCAAGACCATTTAACACGAACCAGAATTGCAGTAGGAAGAATAGGATTAAAATAGCCTTACACACCATTAGGTATAGGCTACATCGAAGCAACACATTAATTTATTGGTATTGACAATTGTAGTCATAGTCAGACATATTCATACTACCCTGGTGATGTGGCAGTAATACTAAGTCTGACTGCTTACACATTCATACACCCAGTAGTTTTTTTGCCAGCTTTCCTTCCTACTTTGACTGTAGCAGCTATAATGCTGTTAGCCTGTATTATAGTTTTAAATTCCTCATATTGGTTTAAGATCATAGTTTTTTCTTCTTGTGCAAAATGTGCAGTTCTAGACCAGTCTGTGTTTGCATTCGGTCATCTGGTGCCCCTTCCATGTGAATGAGCTCATAGCCAGATTCAGAAACTGTGGGTTGACGTAATGACTTGATAACCAGCTTTGTGCGACCGCTTAGCATGGCTGCAGTTGTTAGGTTTACTGAGTCCAGACCATGAAAAGATATCCGGGGTATGTTAAACATGTTTTGTAGTAAAAGCGTCTGGTTCTCACTGGGAACCAATATTTTAGGATCTAAAACAGCTTATTTTTGGTCAAAATGACCAGAACTTTGTTTGGAAACAAGAACTGCACCGGTTTTCAGTCAAAAAGTCCTGTTAAATGCCCAAATTTGGTCTCACAAGAACTGAAAGACCACCTTTTCATTTCTACAAACATGAGAGTGTTTATTAGGGACGCCACTAATGATTAATTTTCTATTAATTAATCAACTATTTTGTTGGTTAATCTAATCAATTCATTGTCCTCAAAAACAACTAAGACAAAGCCAAATGGCCATTTAAGTTTATTTTATTTTGACAAACTGTATGTCATTGAATTATGCAGCACACAACAAAACTTTACATATTTAAGTGTAAACTCCAGCATGTTCAAAATAAACACTAAAGAAGGCTTATTATTTAAGTCAGTAGTGTAGCTCCACAAGAAAGAAGTTTCATCAAACATCTTAACAAAGTCAAAAAGCACAGACCAGCTAAAGCAACTCCTTTTCTCCTTTTTGACTTTTTGACTTTTTGACTTTTTGACTTTGGTTTTGCTTCAAATTTTATTGACATATTGCCGAATTCACAACATAGCTGCTCTCTTAACTTGTGTGGCGATTTTGACAGATGGCCTGTGGCGATAAAATGAGGATTTTAGCGATGCAGAGCTTCACACAGAAAATATATCAAGGAGAACAGCTTTATTGGAAATTGGGATGAAGTACAGTAAAGTATATGTGAACGCAAAGAGAAGCAAGCAGATTTAAAGTGTCTCCGAAGTAAATGGCGACTGTGCGTTTTCTTTGCAGGTGTTCATACATTGTGCTGTGCTGCCGTGGGCTGCCATCGAAACTCTACAGAGTGTGCAGATCAGCTTTTGGTTCATTGATAATCTGAATTACTTCCATGCTTTTGAAGCCTTGGGTCTTTGAATAATTTAACAATAAAAAACATGCATCAACTCAAAATAATAATATCAAGTATCCCGACTAATCTTCACTACTCATTTGTCGGCACATATATTAATGCATAGGAGTACACCTGAGGATGCTACTAAGAACCACCTGCACATGTCACAGTAAATTATAACAGGAAGTGTAAAAACTATTAACCCTCCTATTACCTTCAAATTTACTGACATCTTTTATCCTTGGGTTGAATTTGACTCCAGCAATTTAAACCTCCAGAAAATATGATAATTAAAATTTTGTGGAGAGCCCTTATATGTCAATGACTTATTTAGAGATGTTTAACATTGAATGGGGTCAAATTGACCTCAAAGATAATAGGAAGGTAAAAACATAAATAATAAGATATTATATTACATAATGCATAAGCTGCCTATTACACTTCCCTCTTAACACATATTGTTTAGCTTAGAGTCAACTTTATTGTAGTTATAGTTCTTAATCATCTTCTAGTTTTTGTCACCAATACATGAATTGACACTAATGGAATAACCATGACACGTGCTCTTGGATTTCCTTGAGAGCCACGAGTTTTACTGCACATCAGCAGAGCCACTGAATAGACTGAACAGTGTCAGGAGTAAAGAAGCGTTCATATTGCAGATCTATAAAGGAGGCTCGCTCTGATGATTCTACCCATTTTTGTCATTTGATGTTTTTCAGTATTTAGTCGGAACCCTTTTTCAACGCCAGCACCATTACAGCTCAGCTCTCCTCTATTATTATTCCTGTTGGTCTCCATAGTGGGCCCTTGGACAGCCCCATAAATGGCAGGCGGTGCTTTTACTCTCCCCGGGTGTGAAACGTGGGCTTCCTCTCCCTCTCTCGCTCTCTCTCAGGAGGGCTTTGAATAATCACCGCTCACCTCCCTTTTTATTTGTAACAACTGGCTTATTAATGCAGGAGCTGTTTTGAAAGGCCAGCTGAAACAGGAACAAGGACAGAGGCCGTCTGGGGGCAACTGATGATAATTGGTAGGCTTAAAGCACCGGAGGAGAGGAAAAATGGATGAATGAACGAATGAATGAGGACGAATGAAAGCGGCCTGGGGATGCTACAGTGGTCAGCCGCGATCAGGGTTGTTTGTTTGAAGGGTTTCTGGGTAGAGCTGCAGGGACGGGACAGCTGGATACGTTCGCTTTCTATACAGAGCACACCTTTGCTCGCTCGGTCCGTTCATTTCCCTCCTTTTCCTCCCTTTTTTTTTTTTTTTTACGTCCTTTTACCATTTCATCCACACTCACAGCCTTTTTCCTCTTTTTGTCTCCCCTTCTCCTGCTGTCACCCCCTAATTTAGAGGACTGTATCCCTTCTTAGTCTCCTGCAGTGCTAGTTAGCAGGCCCTGAAAAGTCCTTTACACCATTTGAACTGAAAGCCCTAAAACTGTGCTCTAAATCCACCAGATTTTTGATAGAAGTGTTGTGTGTTTTCATATATTAGAGTTTTCATTTTCTTGTTATTTTCTTTTCTGAAAATGAGCTTAAAATTGAACTTTCACCAGCTTTAAAATGAGAATCTTAAATCCAGCAGTATAACCTTTTTTTTCTCCACTGCCCTCCCCTGCCTCTCACTTTGCTTGGTAGCGTGCCAGCTCCTTTTCACTACAATGTGGCCAATTTTGTCGTATTACAGCTGAGTTATACGGTGCTACACGAAGAAACATGGCCAATAGCACACTGCCAGAGGAGGAACTTGTTGAAGAGGGCAATGAGAGGACTGAAACAAGAATTAGACTGATACATGGGGTTGGGGATGCATGTGCAATGAAATGTTACACACGTTGAAAGGACAAGTTTGTTATATGTTTAATGTATCAGTAGCAATTGTCGAACACCTCCCGTCACCATCTTCTCAAATGAGAAAAAGTTGCATTTTTTAAAATGTAATTGTTAATTGAAAATATTTAGGCTATAGGCTGTTGGTCAGATGTCACCTTGACCTGTAGGATCTTATGACAGGCATTTTCTATTTGTTTTCTTACTTT